TTCTCTCTCCTCCTCCTTCTTCACAACTACCGTCCTCGCTTTTCCGCTTCCCTCTTTCTCCTCCACCTGCCCCCCGCCCTCCCTGACCCCCTACCTCTCTCCTGCCCTTCCTCCTCTCCTCCTCTACTTGTATCGTGAGGTCTCTGGTGCCTCCCAGGACTGGACGGAACGTCAGCCGCACGGGATGCGATGATGACGGTCAAGGGGACGCTCGTCCCTAGAAGAGACATGTGAAGCTGTTTCCGTAGCGACGCTTCATGACGAGTCTCGCAGGTTCACCTCAGAGCAGCTGAGCATGGCGACCTGACCTTCTCACCTCCGTACCCCTCCCTTACCGCTCCATCCATCCATCCATCCCATCCCCTCCATCCCTCCCTTACCCCCTCATCCCCTCCATCCCTCCCTCAGACCCTCCATCCCCTCCGCTGTCCTCCCTTCCTCGCTCTTCCCTTCATTCACAAAACTCCCCAAGGCTCCTAAGGAGGAGGGTGAGCGTTTACCCTCCCTCGCTTGTAAACTACATCTCCGTCCTCACCCCTCCCTGGCCTTGCTCAGCACATGCTGCAACAGCTCGGGAAACTTGTTGACCATGAAGTGATCGCCCCGATTGCTCGACAGGAGCTCTGTCTTGAGGTTCTCGTGCACGTGCTGTGCTTCTCCGTAGGGGATGAACGGGTCCTGCTGATCTGCAAACTGGGACGCGAACTTGACATTGTCGCGCATCTGCTGCCAATCTGAGGGAGGGAGGGAGGGAGGGAGAAGGAGAGGAATGAGGACAGGAGGAGACAGTAGCGAAACGAAGGAGATGGGGGGAGGGGAGAGAGAGAAAGAGAGAGAGAAGGTGTAGGAAAAGGGGGCGAATGGGGGAGGGGGGAAGGGAGGGAGGGAGGAAAAGAGAGAGAGGAGGAGGAGGAGTTAGCAAACAACAAGCTCAACGCTATCGACTCACTCCAGGGTCTGTTGTAATACCCGCTGATCGCCTCGGAAGGAAGCCCGAGGTCTGTGTGGCATGCGGCGACTAGCACGACTCCCCTCACCCTGTGCTCCTCGATGAACCGCATGGCTGCCTCGGCCCCTGAACTGTGGCCGACTATGATGCTGTTCTCGTCTGCCCCCAGCTCGTTCTTCATGAAGGGCAACCAGATTCTCTCCTGCTCGTGGCCATTGAGTCAGCCCACCACCTGCTACCCTCCTGCTGCGTTGCCTTGGCTTCGAAGGGATCAGGCATGTCCTTCATGGCACATGACACTCCTGACTTCTCCAGCTGGACGCAGGTCAGACCGTCTTGCACGAGAAGCATGTAGTAACCGACCTCGTCATGCAGCCACTTGTACCAGTTGCAGGAAGCTATCGGTGTACAGCCTGTAGGGTCGTGAGATGTAGGACAGGAGAGGAGGCATCGAGTCTGGGATAGGATCGTGTGCTGGAACAGCGGTTGAGTTGCATTTTGTTGTGCAAGAAGAAAAGACAGGAAGAGACTAAAGGGGAAGAGCAAACCTGCGGTAGGCATGACAGATATGGGGAATGAACTATGACAGGGACAGGGACAGGCAGGAGGAGGGTGAGGATGAGCAGGACGAGGAAGACGGGGAGAACGAGGAGGACAAGGAGGAGAACAACGAGGACGAGGACGAGAATGGGGATGGGGATGTTCATGACCAGGAGGACGAGGATAATAATGACGACGAGGAGGGGGAGGACAGGGAGAAGGAAGAGGAGGAGGACAAACAAAAGGACAAGGAGGAGGACGAGGAGGACGAGGAGGACGAGGACGACGACGACGACGACGACGAGGACGAGGACGACGAGGAGAACGAGGAGCAGGACAACTATAAGGACGACGAGGACGAAGAGGAGAACGAGGAGCAGGACAACTACAAGGACAAGGACGAGGACGAGGACGAGGACGAGGAAAGTCTCCACCATTGCCGGGAACGATGAGTACGCGAGCTGCCATGAGGAGACCTATCATCTTAGGTATGGTGGTGGTGGGGTGTATATCTTCCACAAGGGGTCTTTCGAAAGGAAAAATGGGGGTATGGGTGGTAGAGTGAGGTGGGGTGGGGTAGCTCCGCTAAGGTAACCATGCACAGGAGCCGTTCGTGCGCGAGGAGCAGGGAGGAGAGGAGGATGGTGAAGAGAGGGTGCAACTGAGAGCTCAGAGATCTGAGTCCTTGGGTGAAGGATACAGACACCTCGTCCCATCAGCGACGAACACAGGTCATCCAACAATGGCCCCGCTAAGCCAGTTCCGACCGTTCCTCCTGTTCCTCCTCGCGCCTCTGCTCTCAACGACACACACGGCGAGTGGCATCGCAAGTGACCGAGGGCCCCGCTCCCGGTTGAACTTTTTGCTGCGGCTGAGAGGAGGGCAAAGCCAGAGCTTCAAGCAGCAGTTTGGGAAGCAGACCGCAGCTATGGAGCTTGACCACGAGGAGGACGAGGACAGGGTGAAGTCGAAGATGCAGTTTGAATCCAGGCTTTCTCAGCTGGTGCTGGGGGAACCCAAACCTGTGAAACACGACAAGCTGGTGGTGGATGACTATGAAGAGTTGAAGAAGTACCACATTCACGCCAACAAGATCGTAAAGGAGCGGCCCAAGTCAGCAAGGAGGAGCACGACCGAGGGTGGTACACAAGTATCCCTGAAGAAGAAAATGCGATCTCCTGACGCTCCTGTTCTTAAACGAGCGAGCGTGAACTGCACTCTTGCGATCGCACATGGCTTGTTCAACGCCACTGACTTGGCAACGTATCTCAAGCAAAGGATCAAATACAATGGGAAGCTGCACAACTATGATGATGCGATTGAAGTTAAGGTGGATGGTCACGATGTCATTGTCCTTGCATACAAACCTACCCAGATGAAGAAGAAGCGAGTTTGGTCTCGAAAGGTTTGTCGTGGAGGCTGATGATTTGCGTTGAAAGACTAAAATGAGAATCAGTTGTTCCTGTCCGAAGCATTCTCGACGAGATACATCAGATATCTGACGAAAAAATTCATTTGCAAGATAGAGCTGAAAGATATCGTGCGGCCAGTATCAGTGGACTTCTCCAAGGCGAGGTGAACGATCCGCAGTCTTGAAATCACGATGACTGAGACTTGACAATCCCTGCAGTCAAGAGAAAGGAGGGAAGGGCGTTAGATTCGAGATTCGATATACAAACATTCACAAGAACAAATATCACAAGATCAAGTACATAGCTAAGGTGGTCAAGTTTCAGACTGCAGGGACCACTGCTGTAACCAACTGACTTCCTCGACACAGCACGGAACCAGATTGGAGATGGCTAGGAAAAACCTCATCGCCAGCGCGTATGCAGTGAATGATGCCGACAAACTACACGTGACCAGGAAGATATCGATCTATTGCTGTGTATGATGGATGGGCAGGTTCCGCGTAAAGAAATGTACATGGAGCGAAAGATAAAAGCAACTGGTGGATAGGTGGGAGTGTGAAATGCATGACTTGACCATACTTTCTGTCTGCAGGAGAAAGAATCGGAGGGCTTGAATATCTCAAGCAGACGAGAAGGACGATAGCGGAGGTTGTTGATGGAGGAAGATTTCTCTTCACAGCTGACTGCTTTTCATCTCTAGGAGAAAGAAAGGAGAGGATCCCTACTCAAGGTAGAAATCTGGAATTTCGCCTTTCCACAACTCGTCTGCTTCCATTAACTCGCATATTAGCATTGGGTTGAGCTTCAGGAGAAAAGTTATCGTGCCCCATTTGGAGGGGCCATGGAAGACTGGAAAGACAGATCGATCCTGAAGTAGGAAGCACGCCTAAACTTCGAGCAATCCTGGCCTGAAACTGAAGTATTTGAGCACAGGCATGATCCCGACAGGTTGGGAAAGGGCATCAAGGCTCACAGGTTTGCTTCCGAGCGCTTCTCATACTTCTTCCTCACCCTTCCCTACAGCACTGCTGGTTACACGGCTACCTGGTCAATGAGGAACAGGCTGGGGGTGAGAGAGGGGGTAGCCAGTCTCCTGTACACTGGAATCGCCCCCGATGGGTTCAAGAGCATCCAGAAACGAGCTGCTGCGCAGAGGTTGAAGGACAGGTACTCGGAGGTGGCTGACTTGGTAGCCTCGCTGAACGAGATTGCCCCAGGTCTTTCGTCTATTCCTTCAGGAACTCCAGGTTCTACTCACAGATGGGAGAGGGGGACCGTACCATCCACAACTGGAAGCCAAAGTGGCTGCTGTCTGGGAAGATGGACTTGCACAAGAGAGACTGGCGTTAGTGGATTTAAGCTTCAACCCCCGGTTTGCCTCAAGCACACACTGTGTGATATCTTGCGAACATGTCGTCATACCAGTCCGCAACACTCTGAAACTACTACGATTCACTCAAAATCTCTCATCCTCCATGCGGGCTCAGATTGGTTAGCATCTTAGTACATCCCGTTGTATGGATATTGATCAGTGCCGACGAAGCCGCGCACATCCCTGTTGGGCGCAATGTCCTGATGGGCGGTGGGATCGCTGTACATGCTGTTGGAGTAGTCGAACCTGTCATGGCCCATGTCAGCTCAGATGGACGCATATGCGATCAAGCCAGTGATCAGCAAGGATAGCAACGCACTCACCCATGATCCCAGTAGAGCTGGTTGTCATAGGCAATGTAACCATCGCCTTGCGATCCAGCCCATGGGCGGTACCATGAGTGAGGTCCAAAGTGAGATTTAGCGGCACCGCCGGAAGGGGTCGGAATGCTGAAAGTCAATGCTGACAGCTCCTGGAACGAACGAATTTCGGAGAACATTCTGCGGACAACCATGTCAGTTTACCGTGAGTGTCCAGACATTGACCCAAATAATCATTCACTCCTTCCATCTAACGATTCACTGAGCGATCTGCACCTCATCTGTTCCCTAATGCCAGGCTACATGGCACTGGCCACTGGGTCACTTGTCTCAGCGGCTTCATGCCAGTACTACACGTCCTTGCCAAGTTGTCAGCCACCGCCAGCAGTCATTGCGGCTGCCAGAAATAGATTTCAGTGAACCTTGAGTCTCTGAGCGGGCCCGCCGCGGCGGTCAGCTCTGGCACCGTGACTGCGGGGGGGCGGCCCGGCCCGGGACCGGCGGTGACGCCCGGCGTCGAGGGCAGCGGCACGTGCGGCATCCGGAAGCTTAAAAGCACTCGGATGCGGGACTCCCGGACGGTTGGGGCTGTTCTCACTGTCACAGGCTTTTCCGACGGTCTTCTCGCCGCGGCCGTGTCCGTCCGAGTCAACTCTCCTGATTCAATCCTCGTACTGCATTTTTAACTTAACTTTGAGTAAAGTTGGCCCAGGCACTGCATGACAGTGTCACGCGGCGGCCGGGCGCTCACGGCCGGGCGGTGACTCAGTCACGGTTCACTGAGGCTCGCGCGGAGTCGGGCAGGGGCCCCGCCGGGCCCGGAGTCGGTCACAGATCGGATCGGCGGCGGGAAGGTGGGAATCTGGCACGGTTACTAGTTATGTTTCCAGTGGGGCTCCGCCGCACGTTACTATCACCCAACACACACAGGCTACACCTTGCTCAGCGGCTTCTTGCTGAAGATACCGGGCCGGTCAAGTTGACTAGTCACTGAGTACTACCCGGTGACCGGCGGCGTGACTACTCAGTAGTATATAATACTACTGGCTGACTGAGTTGACTGAATTTCAAACGGTATGTGAGGGGACGAGGGACAGGCAACGTCGCCGTCATGGGGACTTGAGAGAACAGCAGCGGCCGAGGCGATGCGTGAGGATAGGAGCAGGCGATGGCTCAAGAAGCATCATCGTGAGGATGATAAACAGAGCTAGGCGCTCGCAGATCGACCGAGAGCCGCCACATGCAGGCTCGGAACGCTTCTGGCTCGCCTTTCCTGCTGCTTTCTTGAGAAGTGTGCATGGACGACGGGGGCTTTGAGCTGGAGGTGCTAAAGAATGCGCTGAAATCGCTACAGTCAGACACTCAGCAGCGTGAGAGGTACCTCAAGTCCCGGCTGGATGGTCTGCATGACAAGGCACATAGAGAGAAGGCGCACTTGCTGAGTCAAGTCTCGGATCTGAAGAAGCAGTTGGCGAACAAGGGTCTCTCATCCCCGAAGGAGCTTCTGAGTGACGTTTCGAACAGCTTGTCCAATGTCTTGCAAGCGTCCAGTGCGCCGCTGCTAGAGCAAGGTGACAGGAACGAAGAAGGAAACGGCACGTCCCCAGGGTCTCCCCACGAGGGAGAGTGGTTGACATCTTCGCTCAGGATATTCCCCTCTGCTGCTGTGTCACCACTCATGAACCATGACTTTCCCGCTGATTCTGGCAGCGCCAAGGCAGGAGGAGCAGGAAGTCACCGTCTGCTCGGTCTCGAGTCGAAAGTGCAGAGTCAACAGGATGAGATCGTGGAGCTGCAGCACATGATGAGCGAGCGGGGGAAGCTAGTCAGCAGCCTTCAGCAGGAGCATGGAACCTTGATAGCGAAGATCGAAGAGAAGACAGACCGGGTTGCATCCCTCAAAAGCCAGATCTCATCTGTTCGCGACAGGATCGAACGGCTCGACGCCTTTGGACCTCCCCTTTGGATGGCCAGGCCAGGAGAGGACCGCCGAAGGGACACGATGGCGACCATCCTCGATGGGGCGTCAGGCTGTAACAACTGGCACATGTGCAATGTGAGTGACATGGATCTCGCACCGAAATTCAATGAGTTCAAGTCGAAGTTCGAGGACGAAGCTGCCATTCCCCTGAAGGAGATGGTACTTTCGTTCCTGACGGCTTTCCTGTTGAAGAATCCCAAGATTGGAGATTACAACTTAGTTCATAGCTTTCTTGGTGCTATGGAGAATCCAATTAAGACCAACAAGCTATGGAGTGGACTAGATGAGGATGATTTGGCTGATGCTATCGATGCGCTTGAAACGATGATCTTGAGAGACGCAAGGGTCTATCCCACAATTTTGAAGAACATGAGCAAAGATTGGAAGGAAAAAGATGAAAGGTTGCGGAAGAAGATGTGGTGCCTGCAATTTGTACAACCTTGGGTGTGTTTTTCACTTTGCCGTTCAACTTGCATCTGATTGTTCGGTTCGATTTTTCAGCACCTTGACATACGCAAGTGCCATTATACACATCCAGCGTTGATTTTTGCCAGACAAATGATTTGCCAATTGCTCAAGGTAATTGTTTCTCACTCAGTGCTGTTTTGATGCCGTTGATGTTTGTATGCCCAGGTACAATCTCCACAAGAAATGCTTGAGTGTGTGTATCAGTCTGCGAGGATGATTTTCCGGATGCTGAATGAGACAGCCATCTTGACGGGTCAGTCTATCTTAGATGGCTCTTCCACACCTTGACGTGTCCTGCAGGTGGATCAGCTGCTTCAGCGGACGAGTTCTTGCCGGTAATGCCGATGACTTGTTTCCTCCCCTTGTGCGTTCCTTGTATGGCTGTCGTCATTCAACCTTCAGATCTTCATCATCTGCGTCCTCAAGGCTCAGCCACGGAATGTATACAGGTGATGCCCCATCTCGAGCAGCTCAAGCTGACCTTGTGTACTATCCTTGCTCGCAGTATGCTGGAATACATCTCGCACTTCAGGAATCCAAAACGCTTCGGCGGCGAGCGCCAGTACTTCTTGGTTCAACTGCAAACAGCTGTGACTTTCATCGACAACTTGACTGCAAGGTGAACTGTACCTTATTCTTTCCAGCCTCTGACGATACATTGACTGCAAGCTCTCTCTCAATGGACGCGGACGAATTCCATCGGAAGCTCAAGTCGAAGGTTGTGAGCCCTCAAATGCTGCCTTGGTTGTACTGATCATCGGACACCACTGAAATATCGCTCCAGGAGGCAGCCTGGGAGTCGAAGCAGAACATGTAAGCTGAGTATCATGATTCTAACGACAGTATACTGCGGTGACTGTCCCGTATCTTCCTGCAGCGCAGCAGATAGTTCAGCGTCGCACTCGTAGCAAGTGATTGCCAGCTACAGCGACTAGCGACAATTTAGCTATCTTGAGTGCCGTCACAAGTTAACAGACGCATATTGAAGAATTATCGGAATGCTGATACTGAAACTTGAAACTCAACTATCCCCATCAGCTGCTCACACGCAGACACGGCACAGCCGCCGGTCGCGCGCAATGCTGATGGATCCGCCGAGTGATCGCATGCCAGTCAGACAGCGCCGAGTTAACAAAACTCTGGCGGCAATGTAGTACGTTTGACGAAGAGGAGGCCTTCCTAGCCGTCTTGCTCAGAAGTTGCCACTCGGGTTTCATATGAGTTCTAGCCTTATACAGTCTATCCGAGGCTCTCATGTGCTCCTCAACTCAGTGAATCCTTGTTTCGTGTGCATTAAACTCCGGGTCTTCTTTTTTAAGTTCGGAGCAAAACTTGAACTTTCCGAACTGTCTTCACGGTTGCAGCCCAGGTCGATATGATATCTGCATTACTTTGGCATAGTACAAGTCTAACACTGAACTTGTACTCCGTCAAATGCCGGGCCCGGGCCGCCGGGCGGCCCGGCCCCCCCCGGCGGTCAGCCGCGCAGAACTTGAATTTGAGTGGCGACAAGGCCCAGATTCAAATGGCCGAAGGGCAAGTGGTGCGCTGAGAGACCACGTACCCCTGGTTCGGACCGGAAAAGAGCCTGAAAGGAAGGGGTCAAGAATGTAGGGGGGGTCCGGGGCCAGGATGGTCGTTGCCACACGACTCAGGCAACCTGAGGTACCGTTTTAGTTGGAGGTGGGGGTAGTAAGTTCGACGGAGCCTTCCATAGCAATGGTGGGGTACTTTTGGTAATTATGGGGGTCCACTGTCAAGATAAGCCTGTGGGGGTGGGATGAATTGATGCAGGGTGGGGTAGTGAATCTGAACGGTGAGAGTATGAGCTTTTAACGGTGGGCATGGCGGCAGAAACACGCTCCAGGCAATGCAGATGCAGGAGGAAGGGTCAGAGATGATGTGGATGCAAAGAAGAAGGAAGAGAAGGTAGACTGCAATGAGGGCACGGGGACTTGCTCGTAGGGAGTATGAGGACGAACATAGCTGAGGAGGTGTAGGGAGGAGTTTCCTGGTCACCAGTTGAAATTTTGAATTGAAGACAACGATGATTGTGGAAAACAACGCAGAAGACGATGCGTGAGAATGAAATGTTAATCGTATCGAGTTCAAACAAGTATCAATGGGCTCCGATGTGAGAGGAAAGAAAGTAATGTGATAGTTGTTGTAACACCTTTGTAAATCGCCGATCACACAGCAAGGAGTCTATTTGATTGTAGAAATAGCCAGGATTCGCCAGGAGTGGACGAATAGAATGTTATGAATCATTCTTGTGACTCAGATCTTGTTAGATACGTTTCAAACATATGTATGACGAAAGCGGTTTTGAATGTTTTCTTGATTTGCAGGTTGTGACTGGACGCTGCATTCATATCGTTGCCGGGATGTCCGCAGAACTCGCAAAGGGGCACCATTTTTCCATCTGCAAACGATGTTTCCTCAAGCAGATGTTGTAGTTCAGCTAGTGTCTTTTCGCCTTCTGTGCAGGTTTGATTGATGATGCGGTGTAGATCAGTGCACTGACAGAGATATGAATACAGGAGTAGAAAATAAGATAATGTCCGACAGTGTGAAATCAGGATACAATACTCGCTCTTCAAAGAAGAAACAGAAAGATGGAGTCCAATCAGATGAAAGGTTCCGTCATCACAATCCAAAACATCTTGGTTTGATGTTTGCGCAGGACAAGCGCTCAATCGCTCCCGCATCCCGATGACATCGAGATGGTGATCGCTGCAGCGTCTGAAGATGAGAATATGCGTGGAAGCAACTCAGTAGAAAATCCTCCCAATGCGATGCATGTCGAACTGCACAAGGTGCAAACCTCGATTTCATATCTTATGGAGCTCATTTCATGACGATTACCAGGAGCATCCAGACGGCGATTCAACCATGCAGGATACGGAAGCAAGCAGTTCACATAGAATAGGTACATTGGTTTTCCATCTTGCGCGCATTCTTTGACCATGTCCGTGGTTTCCAGACCCGGAAGGGAGTGAAAGCAACGAAGTTGCTCAGAATACAATGATGAAGGATGGGGAAAGCCCGGCAACACAGATGGTTTTTCGAACCAGACCAAACAACCCCCTGCTCCTCCTGACTGTCAAGCTCTTGGATACGTATCAGGGGATCAATGAAAAGTATTATGCAAAACAGGATCGAAGACACAATGATGGATATGACGATGAGAATGGGGATTACATTATCAGACCTGGGGATGTGATTAACAATCGATACAAAATTGTTACAAGGTCAAACGGATCGTCTCCTCTGTTGGGAAAAGGATCTTTCGGTCAAGTTGTATATGCTATTGATACCATGGAAAGCAATCGGAACAAGCAACATGTCGCAATCAAGATAACCAAGAATCATCGCCACTGGCACGAGCAGGCGAAAAGTGAAATTGCTCTCTTGAAGAAATTACGGGGGATGAACTCAGTGATTCAGAATGGGATCTCAATTGATTGGGTGGACTATGCAAATGTCGTGAAGTTGACCGACGACTTCGTTCATAGGAACCATTGTTGTCTGGTCTTTGAGCTGCTGCCCTTCACGCTGTATGATCTCCTCAAGTACTCCAAGTACAAGGGAGTCTCGCTGCAGCTGGTGTCCAAATTTGCGAAGCACTTGGTGAAAACCCTTGACTGTTTGCGGCACCCTGACCTGGACGTGATCCATTGTGACTTGAAACCTGAGAATGTCATGCTTGTCCGACACGATGACCACAGAGTCAAGGTGATTGACTTTGGAAGCTCTTGCAGCTCCAAACGACAGCCGTTCACCTACATCCAATCTCGCTTCTACAGATCTCCTGAGGTGCTGCTGTGCCATCCTTACAGCTACCCGATCGACATGTGGAGCTTGGGGTGCATTCTGGTGGAGATGCATACTGGGCAACCTCTTTTCAACGGGAAGAACGAAGCGGAACAGATGTACAAGATTTGTGACGTCCTCGGGATGCCTCCGATGGAGATGGTCAAGAACGCCGGGGCCAAGTCAAAGGTCAAGTCTTGCTTCAAGTTCGACGAGTCCAGGTACTACATCGTGGTTGATTCCAAGGTTTTGGAACGAGCAACTCGAGACTTCAAGCAAATCATCAGGAAACCCTCCCCTCCGCCATATTCGGCGGAGCAGGAAGCCATGTACAGTATGTTCGAAGACCTCATCCTCAAGATGTTGACATTCGACCCGAACGCGAGGATCACGCCCAAGGAAGCGATGCGCCATCCTTTCCTTCAGGGCCACGAGCCTCTGGCACGGGCTAGCAAAGGTGACAAGAGCGACGGGGCATCCGATGCCCCCGCAGCGAAAACCCCGAGAGCGGACAAAGTGGACCAGGCATCGCAAACAAACAAATGATACCACAGCGGCAGAGCGACACGATGTACCATACACAACATGAATTTGTCAAGTTAACGCGCATAACAAGTCTGTACATTCAATGGAAATGTGGAATACCAAGGTCAGTTATAAATAAAGAGAAATTAGATGAACACTTGCGCACTGCTCCCCTGCCACCTCACTCGTCTTCTAGCTTGAAGCCTAGCTTCGTGTCGAAGATCTCCAGACTGTCGCTCCCCTGCCATGGCATGAAGTCAAGATCCTGGACGAGGCTGCCGTTGCCGCATGCGTACTCCATGGCCAGCTCGACATGCAAGTCTCTCCGGCCGTCGATGTCGGTGGGTCCAACCACTCCGAGCAACTTGATCTCTTGTGTCTGCACGTAACTCTGAAAGTACTTGAGCCTCTTTTTCGCTCCCTTGTCCAGGTTGTTGATAGCGTAGTCGAAGTCGGCCGCCACGTTGTGGCCCCGCAGCATCGGCTTGTCTGGCTCCCCGGGCAGCTCCCAGACCTTGTGGAGAGCATAGCGGATGAAGGTCACGCCATACCAGATGGCTCTCGGCGCCTTGCGCTTCTTGTTCCTGCTGCCATAGTCGTGGATGTAACAGGTTTGACCGAGGGCGAGGTAGAGCAGGAGCGTGTTGTCGAGGCCGTTGACGATGCCGTTGAAGTTCCTGGACTCACAGTGCGAGCTCTGGATACGCGTGAACGCGACTGGGACGCCATTCAGCATGGGAAGCGCCTCCAGCCCGTTGCTGAGGTTGATGAAATGCACAGCTCCCTCCCTCGACATCTCAACATGGCTCGCTTGCCCTCGCAACCTCGTCCTCCTCTGGGTCTGGAAGCGAGCAGCCCTGGCATGCAGGCATGCAGAAGCTCCGAAAGCAGGAGGCATGAAGGCGCCAGCGAGCCTGAGGCTGAGCATGACAATGGCGAGCGCGAGCTGGCGGCGCAGTAGCGACATGGCGCACCCACGGATTGAATTTACGAGCAGCCGCATCTGGTTGGGGTTGGGATGGTCGGGGTAATGGCGGGAAGGTGAAAGGGTGAAGGAGGGTGGGTGAGGAGGAGGAGGAGGGAGGAGGGAGGAGACGAGGTCGAAGAGAGAGGTGGAGAG